CCCCCGCCGCCTCCCGCCGAGTGCCGCGCGCCCGGCGCTCCCCCCGCAAGCGCCCATGCGCCATGTGCCCGGTGCCAGGCCAGCCCCGAGCACCTGGCGGGCGCATTGAAATGCCCCCGTGGGCGCCATGGCGCCCGCGGGCACCGTGTTGGGGACCACTGCTATGGAGTCAGACTTCCCAAAGCTTGAGGATATTAGATTTAGAGTGCAGATTTGGCTCAGAATATAACTAGAGCCACATTTTCATATAGATTGAAGGTTTGATTCAGAGCCATCTCAAAGCCATAGCAATGTGTTGGGGGTGATTTATAGTTAATCATGAGAAGTCATTGGTACTCTGCTCTGCAGGGGTGAGGTTCACACCATATGTCAGTAATTTTGTTGCATTTATGAGAAGTACAGCATAATCTGTTTTGCCAATCTGTAAACTATTCCACAAATGGAAATAATTAATGTGAAAGCTATTCTACTTTTCTATATTATAGTGCCTCTCTTAAGCCTGTAGAATGATAGAATGATTGGTCTTTTTTTATAATTTTTGTCCTTTTTAATGGATCTTGTCCCTTTTAATTGGATTTTGTCCTTTTTAATCTGTCTGTCATTAAAATATAAATAAACTCCACAGAATGTATATCAAATACATTGAAAAATTGTCACTATGTATGAACTAAAGAACAAAAATTGGTGTGAAAATTTTGTCTTGCTTTTGTACGGAAATAACTAAGAATATAGAAATGTGCATAGAATTAATATAGAAATTGCTGAAAGTACACTGATTATCCATTAATGAATATTTGAAATTGTTGTTTTAGGAACCCCTGTTTCTGCAGTATTTCTAAATAATCCTTTAAAGCTTTTTATCTGTGTGTATATATTTGTGGGGTGGCTGTATTTCAATTTTGGTAAGGTATTATAGATACCTGACTAAAAACATACCCTTTTGAACAAATGATTGTGACATTGCTTTACGTATAAGTGGAAGTAAAATATAAAGTAAATTTGGCAATAGATTATTAAGTAAAAGCTTGTGTTTAATTTTTATTACTTGAGACTACTTTCCATAACACCCAAATACTCTTTTTCCTAAAGAGACTTTGGAATGGTAATACATGAAATATATGTCATAAAATTTTCTCTTTAGTTGGCCTAGTGTCTCGACTGATAAAAATGTAGCCTCCCATCAATATTTTAAGGCTGTGAGATCAGACTATTACATAAACAATAATGAGATTTTTACATAATCAGTATTTCAAATAAAATCACTTTGATGACATCTGTTTTAGTCTTGTTTAGTCCATGCATTACATGGCATCCAAAGAAACATCTAATGCAGTGCTCCCATTCTTTTCTTCTCACCTCTGTGTTACAGCCTTCACAGCTTCCTCATAAATATGAAATAATTTTGCTATTGGCTTACATTTTTCAAAAGTGGTGAATGATTTTAAAAGGCTCAGTTTTTGGATCCCCAGCTTGAGAAATCTTAAAAGGGGGCTGACTTTCAGATTGGATGCTTAGCACTTTCCAAATTTCAAATTCCTTTAAAATAACTCAAGTTGAGCATTTACAAACTGAGGCACTTACTTTTGAAAATGCTGCCTGTAATAAATAAAGCATAATTGTGTTTTCTTACTGAACTGTTAATCTGAACACTTCTGGATGCAATCTTCACAAAATGAGTCATACTAGTAGTAATAACTTGCTCGGCCAAATTCAGCACTATTTAAGCACCAAAACTAGGGTGAGCAGATGTCCAGATTTTATAGGGACAGTCCCGAGATTCAGAGCTGTGTTTCATGTAAACATCTATTACCCCGCACTAGGGATGTAAAAGGCTAACTGGTTAACTGGTAAGCTTCACGGTTAATGGATGAGTTAACTGGTAGGGACTGGAGCAGCTCTCCACTCGTCCTGGGCAGCGGGCTTCTTCAGTCTCTGCAGGGGGCCTGAATTGAGACCTGAAAATGCTCCTCACTTTCATGCTAAACCTCTCAAGAAAAGGAGGGTGGAACTGGAGTTCCCATTTAGAAATGTGCTTTTCTTTAATTTAGCACTAAATTATTCTTTCAATAGAAACTATGTCCAATAGTTCCTTTTCATGCTTGGTACAGCAAGAGCAGTTTGGGATGCTTTTTGCTTTTTCTGCAGTCCAGTGAAGTTTCCATAGTGAAGTTTAAAACTAATAAAAGAAAGTTCTTCTTCACACAGCGCATAGTCAACCTGTCGAACTCCTTGCCAGAGGAGGCTGTGAAGGCTAGAACAATAAAAGAGTTTAAAGAGAAGCTAGATAATTTCAGGGAGGTTAGGTTCATAAAAGGCTATTAGCCAGGGGATAGAATGGTGTCCCTGGCCTCTGTTTGTCAGAGATTGGAGATGGATGGCA